ACAATTGCTCCCACCTCATAGCGCCCCCACCCCCCACCCCTGCTGGTGCTCCATGCTCCCCCGCACAGCCCTGCCGGCACTGCTGGTACCCCTCAGTCCTCACCCACAGCCCTCTGCCCAGCCCAGCCCTGCCTGCTCAGCAGCACTTGGGCCCGGCTGCATCTTACAGGCTGGAACTCTGCCAAACTGAAAAGGAAAAGCCATGGTTTCCCACGATTTTCTCTTTTAAAGGAAAATCCATTTTAAAAGTTTGTTCACGACCCTTTCAAATATTCTTATGACCCACTTTTGGGTCGCAACCCACGGGTTGAGAAATGCTCTTCTATTTCATCAATCCCTAGAGGCCGCCCAGGCAGCATTTCTGCAAGCAAAGGGAGACCTAGCTCCATGGACTCTGACCAGACTTTCCCGTGCCCGAACCCTTGGCTCTGTGCACCAGGGAGTGCACTGCTCCTAATGCAGCTTGGGGTGTTTGCAGTCTCCATCACCAGAGGCTTCCCGCTCTTCAGGTCTCTCTGCTCCCCAAACTCTTGACAGTATTCTTTACTGGCTCCTCCTGGGCTCTGCCCCAGCTGTGCTCCCACCAATACCTGGAGCCCATGCCCTGCTCACCTCCATGCTCTCCCCCTGCTTTGCAGGCCTGCCCTGCCCCTTCTGCAGCTGGCCTGGCCCCCGTGTCAGGAAGCTGCTCTGTCCCCGTCTCCCTTGGGATGGTCTCTGCAGCTCCAGGCTTACAGGCCCTTCCTTGGAAGGATGCTGATCCACTCTGCTCAGGGTCCCGGCACCTGTGGGTGGGGAACAGTGTGCAGGTTAGCCCTGGGGTGGTGACATGGGGAAGCCCTGCTAGTCTCCTGGACTGGCCTGGGATGAAGGGAGCTGGAGGCTTCAGTGTGTGCAAGAGGGGGAACAAGGGATGCTGGGGTGTGTGGGTCTGCATGTATGGCAGTGTAAGGGGGGCTGTGGGTCCATGTGTATGGTGGGGGTACGTGTGTGGGACTCACCCTACGAGCACGGACACACACGCACCTTGGGGTACGGACGCAGTCCGTGCTCCTCGGTCCAGCAATGCAGCCAGGTAGTGCTAGAACAGTGCAGGGGCACGAAGGCAGGGAAATAGCTGGGGGTACAGTAGGAGATGGGCTGCTTAGTCCTGCTGTTATCTTTGACAGGCAGCCAGAAGCAGATAAATATTTTCTAAAGTGGGCTGATCAACTCGGAGGTCCACTAACAGAAGGGCAAAAGTGCTTCTTATTCCAAGATTTAACAGAATTTCAAGTGCTGGTAAAAAGCAACCTAAAGACTAGTGACATTCTTGTGTCTGGTTTGTGTGCAACTTTAGAATTGCTTCAGA